AAAAAAAAAAAAAAAAAAAAACATGAATCTTTAAGAATCAAATTTAATCATTTTCTTAGACAATTTGGTCAGATTTTCTCTCCAAATATTTATGAAACAAATACAAATATATTGGCCCAATTTTTTAAATATGCAACTCATTGGAATCTCATTTTTCTTTAATCAATTTCGATATTCTTATGGTAAAAATTTGTCAATCACTTACGAAATCAAATGCAAATACAAATTAATTTAAAATCCGTGCAACTTCTACATATCATTTTTATTATTTTACCAAAATTTGTATCCCCTTTTTTTTAACAAAAATTTGAGATTGGTCAGATTTTTTCTTTTTAATATTTTAGGAAACAAAACTAATTCAATTCATTCAAAAAATATGATGTCATAGAAATCCCATTTCTTTTTTGTAAAAAAATCTGACATTGGTCGGATTGTCGGGTTTTCTTTCCCATTATTTAAAAAACAAATACAAATTAGCCGAATTTTCTTAAATATGAAACTCCTATGAATCCCCACTTTCTTTGTAACCAATTTAGAGATTATTATGCAAAAAATGTGTCAAATAAGAAATCAAATTCAAATACAAATTAATTTAAATCCGTAAAACTTCTTCATATCATTTTTATTTTATTTACCAAATCTGAATCATATATTTGTTTGTAACAAATATTTTTTATTGGCCGGATTTCCCTTTCTATTTTCTTAAGAATCAAAACTAGTTTCAAGAACATGATGCCATAAGAATCCAATTTTTTTTATAACAAAAATTAAGATATGCCGGATTTCTAATTTTTTTATGAAACAAAATTAATTTCAATTCATTACAAAAATATGAATGTCACAAGACTCCCAATTTATTTATTTATTTTAAACAAAATGTGAGATATTTACCGTGGAAATAGTTATATAATTCTTAACAAATTCTTAACTAAGAGATGAGTAATAGTAAATGCTAATTTTTCACAATGAAAATTGTGAGATAAGGTTATATAAGCGAAAAACTTATTATATTTAACAACATAATAATTGATGTGCAAAATATCTCTGCTATGTGGTAACTCATGTCGTAACTCATGTTGGTATCGTGTTGTAGTGCCAATTGCATAATCAATCGATTATTTTAATATATAAAAACTAATATGAATATTTTTTTTTATAAATATGAATAAAGTAAGAAATAATTAAAACGTCTTTAGATATATAATTTATAATCTTAATATGTTGTCATTTGTAATAAACATTTACTACATGCATCATAGAATATTATTCAATTCATAAAGTTAAATATATTTAAGGAAAATAAAAAAAAATTCATTGGACCAATCGGGTGATTGGATAAGGTTAATGCCCAAGTTGATTATATTACTTTTAGTCGTTGTTCTAAAAATCGGCCTAGGCGGCCCCTAGGCAGTAGGCGGTGCCCGGGCGCCTCCGATTTGAACAAATCAGCAGAAAAAATCGGCCAGGAAGCTAGGCGGCACCTAGGCGGGCTAGGAGGACTTGGCGGGCTCGGCGGCCAGGCGGAAGCGGCGGAACTAGGCGGGCTCGGCGGCAATTTTTTTGTTTAAAAAATACTAATTACATTATTTTGTTCTCGTGTCTTCAATAAAATATATTAATATTATTATCTGAACTTAGGTGTGTCGATTTCTTATAAATTGAGATATTTTTTATTATGTAGGTAGTTAAAATAAATAAAAAATATGGTATTTAATATTGATTTCTAGGCCTCGACTAGGCATCGCGTAGGCGCTCTAGGCGCTAGGTGTTGGTCGAGCGCTTAACGGGCGCCTAGCGACTTTTAGAACACTGCTTTTAGTTGATATTTAAAATAATTTAAAAAAATAACACAACTGAGTTAATCGAGGGTGACTAAGTTATGAGACAATTTAGCCAAACCAAATCGATTACTGAACTAAATATAATTTTTAATATTAATACTTTATTACAATAAATGTAATGTAGTTTATACTCGAAATAATTATATTAAATGCTTTTATGACAACATGTTCAAAGATTTACAAACATTTATATATTATTTTATTAATATTTATCTGAACAATGTGATGTTGCATGGCAACTTATTAATGTACAATAAATCCAAGGTTTTGAGAAGAGGACCGTTTTCAAACCGATCAAGTTATTTATTCAATAATTTATAGAATCCACCAGAATTTAATTTAGTAATATTTTAATATATGCATATACATTATTTTTGTAATAAATTTATATAAAAAATAATAATTAAATATCTTAATAATTTTAAAATTTTCAAAGTTTAAACTAACTGATAAATAATTTATAAATGTATTTTTATTTATATTAAAAAATATAAAAAAAATTATAAAAGTTTGTACTAATATTATCAGCCAAGCAGCTGGTGTTGATCGATTCACTAGGAAACATTTTATTAAAGTGAATCGGACTGGTCGATAAAGCGATTCCTGATACATTCGATCGGACTGTTCGGTCCGGTTCGGTTTTGAAAGTGATGGGTAAATCATGATTAATGTTATTTATATATTTAATTTATAATACAATTGTAATATTGTTTCTCCGTGCATCGCACGGGCCACGTACTAGTAGTTTTGTTTAGGCCAAACATGGTACGCCTTATTCCTATCAAGAGACTAACTAATTTATCTTGTCTTCTAATTTTAAGTCTAATATGTCTCCAATGTAGCTTTATGTTAAACCTCATTAGTTCGGCCTCAAAGAGTGATACATGAAAACACAAGAGCGAAAACACACAAGAGTTTCAAAAAGTCAGGCGGTTAAGGCTTATTCCCCCACAAAGTCCAAGCAAAGTGCAGGAATACAACAGAAGATCAAGAAAGGTTGTGTGAGGCTTCAAACTGGTCGAGCTACCATTTATCTTCACAACTGTGTGATCAATAGGTACGACTTCATTAATGCCGAAGTTAGGAAGTTAGTCGTGCACGAATGGACGCACAAGATCATGGATCTCATCACACCCGCACCACTCCAATACTCTAGCCCCCAAGGTAACCATCTTTCCTCTCTTTTGAGGGGAAGAATGTAGATAAATCAATTACTCATCTTTTGAAATTTAAGTTATCTAAATATAACCTAAGCCTCAGTTCAAACATAAGTAATGGCGCAATTAAACTATGATGGAAGAACAAAACATGCAAAGTAAAGAAGGAACTTTATAAATTATAAGGTAGATACTTCACGATAATCATCACCTGGAGGAGATTTCCTTTTCAGAATTGGTCAACGCTTCGTTGAGATCTTGGGAAGCTTTATCCTTCTCAGCAGATATTAATAATATCTCTCTCTCAGCATCCTGAAATGAAAAAATCCCATCAGGCATGAGGATCAATAAACAGTAGTTTCTGCTTGCTTTTGGCTTTTAGACATTATAAAATGATAAAGAAAAATAATTTGTTTCCACCTTAAGAGCTTCTTCGAGTGATTTGAATTGGTCATTGTTCGTAACAGCAGCTAATTCAGAATCTTTTTTCTGAAGCAAGGCATGAGCTCGAACTTTGTATGAAGCAAAGTCATGTTCAATGCGATTTATCTGCAATGTGTAAAAATGAAGAAAAATATAAAGGGGCAAGCTTTAGAATGTAACAAAATATACGAATAAGAAGTCAGAAAGAAAAAGGAGCAGAGGACTTAATTCTGCCTGAGAACAATAAAACCTAAAAATTTCTTTGTCAGATAGCACGATTAGCCTTGCTACTCACCAGTCCATTCGTGAAATTTCGTACGTGCAACTTCTATATTCTTCTTTTTCTAGCTTTCTTTATATTATTATTCCCTTAATTTACAGACCAGTAGTAGCTTGAATGGAAACTTGAGATATTCAGTAAATATCCAACCTCCCCTTACCCAAACCTATGAGAGAGAGTTCTAGAAAAAACCTTTTCTTTGGCTTCCCCTAGCTCGGCATCTTTGCTAGCCAGCAGCTGAGATTGCACAGAAAGTTCCGACTCTAATTGACCTGACAAAAATAAAATTAGTAGAATGGCCCAGTTAAAACATGAAAACAAATATAGTAAGAATAACAAGAATACTTCGTAAGCTGGCTGCTTCAACTTCCGCATGTACCCTATGATTCTCAGAAATCTCCAGATTTGATCTCAAGGACTGCAATACAGCTTCCAGATCGCCTTTCTCTTTCTCCTGAAAGCACCATAAGCAGTATATATAAATCATTGTCTCAAGTTGAACCCCAACATTTTGTTTACTCTGTAGGTACAACTTATGATAGAGCTGAAATGAGTTCCCTTTTGAGATTTCTTATTCTTTATTTGCAAAATGGTTTCTGGATTAGTAATCCAGCATGAATTCTTTCTTGTGAGCGTTGTCCAGCGAGGTACTCGGAAAACTGTCCAAATTCTAATTACTGAGAACCATCCTCCTCTTCCTTCGAAAAACCCATCTCATTTCGACTTACATGATATTACCAAATGTCGTGCAATGAAGCACCAGAATCTAAGTTTTTTAATATGGATGCGTCATTTCAAACCAGTTTTACAATTTACGGGCTAATTACAGAGACCAGACATTGTCCTTATACATGGAATATAGATAGGTCCTGATCACTGATTAACGACCATAGCATTCAGCATCTTAAGCTAACAGACTTGACTCGACAAATTTTAGCTTTTTTATTTCAGTACATATTCCGTTACTTATGGCTTTGTCATCTATAGGTATTACATACCAGGATTTAAAGTTATTGCTTAAACTTCTTATCAAAATGCCATGAGCTATAGACATCATAAAAATGTCAAAAGTGCCAGAGAATAAATCGACACACTTAATTACAAGAATAAATGTGATATTATATAAAACACGTAGCATACTAAGACCACTATGATTTCTTTACAATCCAGTTTGTTTCTTGTCCAGCAATTTGAGTTACAAAGTTTAATAAAAGATGTCAAAAGTGTTGGGAAATGAATCATACATGTTCGTTTTTCAGATGACTGAGCTCTCCTTTTAATTTCTCCATTGCAGCTCGAAGTCGTGCTGCTTCACCACTGGAAGCTGCATCCATCTCTGCAATCTTGGTATCTTTCTCTACAATTAATGCCTGTGAATAAACAAAACAAATGACTCCTGACCAAATATAGCATTTAGAAATAAGACGGAACACTAAACTCCTTTGTGTAAGATGCAAAAAAAATGACAAGACTTCCAAAGAAGTCAATCAAGAAACGTATCAATCATTCAAAAACAAAGGATAATTAGGTTTCCTGGAGCTTTGTCTTTATACGACATGAAACTAAAGAGTAAGAGGTGTAAAAGCACCCGCAGAGATGATATTGTTTCAGTTGCTCTGCTTCTCTCTGATAAAAAGTCAGCCATTTGGGCTTCAAAATTCTCGACTTGCTGAAAAGAAATGCAGGAAGAACAAATTACTAAGATCAAGAAAGTCAGTAAGGTGCATTATTAGGAACAAATCTGGAGAAGAGGGAAACTGAATCTCATAAAAACATTACCTTCTGGTGCTTTAGAGAAAGTTCAGCAATTGAAGCTAGACGCTTTTCATCAGCTACCTGCAGTAACCCTCGCATGTCTTCCAACAACTGCTCAAATACAACCGAACCCAAAACATAATGTCACGTGAATGTTTTCCTGATACTTTAATTACTATGGGAAATGATTGCTGATAATATATGATAAAAAATGAAATTTCAATATTTTGATTTTTGTTCACAAACTCATTTTCATGTGTTCTCAAATTATCAAGGTCGAAGATAATTCTCTTGCACTTTTTTTAATGATGAGGAGAACAATATTGAATTAATTATATTGCTGTGCATCATATCGCAACATAACCACATTGAGGAGAACAATATTGAATTAATTATATTGCTGTCCACCACCAAATATAATTCTATGCACCATTTATCACAACATATTGACCCCAACCCTAAAAATTCATCCCGAAATTATATGTTTATGTTGTCTTATCTGACCCGTAAACAATCATATAATTCCCTTCGAGTGTGCAATAGAGACATTATATTTGTTTGGACTTTCTAACTCTTACGACTTCAATAGATAATAGATATATATAGGCGTGTAAACATATATACACACCCTACCAAACACGCAAACCTTAACAAGGTTTTGAAGCATGTGTAGCCGACATATCTAAAAGCCAACTGGTCTCAAATATATATGATAACTTAAAACAGAACCAAGCTATATAACAGGACATGGTGCCACATCTTTGTTGTTCTAACCTATTTAGAGTTATTCCTTCATGAAAAGGCTGGATGAAAAACAAGTAACACAGTGTAAGAAACAATCTTCTCTGGATTATTGCTTGATGAAAACGCTGTAACCTTTTCATTTTCCATTAAGTTGGTCTTTTAGAACAGTCACAGACATCCATGTGACCATCTATGCTACAGAAGTGGCCTACTGAGATAGATAAGTAAATTCAATCTAGTCTCTACTACTTTTGGTGGTCTTTGGTACAATGTTGAGGAATAGGGTCAAGTTTTTTTCATGACTATTCATATGTAGAGTTTTTGGTTCTTGTTTTTAATGTGTTGACTCAATTGCAGCTATGTGTCCATATAGATATGGACCAACAGAGAAACCAGGGACTCCGTATAAAGCAAAATACTGACTGGTGATCATTATAACGACACAAATTTTAACTTCAACTTTTAACTTCAACGTAAGTGCCTTCTTCAATCAGAGCTATAAACATACATGTGAATTGTTTAAGTGGCCCTAAGGATGATTTACCAGATAATGTGACCCTCAAGTCTCATGTATGGTTGAATTGTAAAAATGTTCTATAACATGTTAACAGTGTCCTCACAAAATTATGACACGGGCACATAACAGTGTATATTGGCGTACTTGAGGAGTACTCACGATCATATATTGGATAACTAAAATATTTCTTAATCTCCAGTTTAACATATATGGTGAAGATACCTGTTCTTTCTCCTGCATTGAGTGTTGCATTGCCTCCAGAGCATTCTCTTTGGGGATCAAAGAATGACGTAATTCTTCAATGTTGTCCCGAAGTCTTCATAAGAGAAAGTTGATAAATTATTTGAAAGGAAAACAGACAATTATCAAGTTAGATGCCCATTATCCTTTGACAGCCTGCTAAAAGCATTCATGAGATTTTAAATAAATAGGTAAATAACATATCCTAAGGGTTATACATTATGAAAGATATTTATTTTGGCATTAGTTCGAAGGTTCTAACAAGCACCTGGAACTACAGAAACAGGGAAGATCTTTGTTTATTTGTTGCCTTAATTACGATTATTTTATATTCCATAAATAAGATATTCTGGATCTTATTATGGTACTTTGATTTGTAGGAAATCGGATGAGATAATGAAGGAAGAGGCGTGTATGATAAAGAGATCAAGGAGAGAGAGAAGAAGATTCACTTACCATATTCTCATGCTATAAACAAGGAAGGAAATCAAGGTTGGAGTCCTATGCCTTATAGAAGACTCCAACCCTAAGGAGATTCTTTTAAATACCCGTATGCAAGCTCTCATTGTGGCTGCTGAGTTTTGAAGATTTATAGAGCAATAATTGAGCTTCGTGTATTCAGTTTTATTGAGTTGTACACAGTTCAGTCTGAGAGTTCGAACTAGCTCAAGGACTGAAGCTGTTTTATTTTGTTCTTTGTGTTTCATCCAAAAACTATTTTACAGCTTATACACTTAGGGAGTAAGTGTAGGTTTTTAAAAGTCCACGGGACGTGGCCGGAGAATTAGTTGATAGGATCTGTGTAGTGTTGGCTAGGCTTGAAGGGAGTTCGAGTCGTTGTAAGTCCAAGCTATGTGTATGGTTGATCTATCAATGAAAGAGCTCTGAGGGGAAGTGGGACGCTTCCCTGAAGAGTTTTAAAATCTTCGGTTTATTGCTTCCGCTTTTTACGTTGTTTACTCACGTTCGTACTACACTTCGCGCACTCGCAAGTAATTATACGTTTCACATTATTTGGGAGTTGCGACCATTTGAAATGATTCTTAAAAAAATAAGACTATTACTTGTGTCCAGAGCAATTTTTTGGCCTCAAACATATGAATGTACGTGCGGAGAACTTTTGCACACTTAATCAATAAAATATTGGTTCTTAACCCT